CACAAGGGGATAAAACTTTGATGGATAGAAAAATGCCCCTTCAGAGTATTAATGATGAAATTACCTAACTGTTTCCGGAATTGTTCAAAATTCCGGGAATTATTTTAGAAACAGTTATCGGAATTTTCTCACGAATCTGTACTTAATTTTGCTCTACGTTCAGAGAATTCGGTTTGCAATTTTTCGACTTTTCATTTAAATTTTTCGATTTTTAATTTTTTAGGTTTTCATTTTTCGACTTTCGCTTTTTCGAATCCTCAAATTTTTGTTTTTTGGAATTCTTCAATTTTTTGATTTTTCGATCATTCGATAATTCGAATTTTTGTTTTCTGAATTGTTTGATTTTCGATTTTTCAATTTCTTAATTCTGTTTTTCGTTTTTTCGACTTTCAAATCCTCGGTTTTTCAATTTCCCAATTTCTCGATTTTTTACTTTTTTGATTATTTCAATTTTTGATTTTTCGAATTCAAAATTTCTCGATTTCTCGGTTTCCTAATTTCTCCATTTTTTGCTTTTAGCTTTTTCAAATTCCCATTTTTTTTTTGTATTTTTGCGCATTCTCGCTTATTCGATTTTTCGGTGTTTGAATTTTTCGATTTCTCGATTTTTAAAATTTCTACTTTTTTGATTTTTCGATTTTTCGAATTTCTCCATCTCCCGATTTTTCCATTTCTTGATTTTTCGAATTTTTACTTTTTTGAAACTTCGAAAAATGGAGAAACTGGGGAATTCGAAAAATCAAAAAAATTGAGAATCGGAAAAATCGATAAATCGAAACTTCGAAAAATCGAGATTTAAGAATTCGAAAAATTGGAAAATCAAAAGAAACAAAAAGTAAAAATTTGTAAAAATTCGAGTATTGGAAAAAACGAAAAATTGGGAATTTAGAATTGGAAAAGTCGAATAATGAAAAAACCAAATTTAAATTCCTGATTTTTCGAATTTTTACTTTTTTGAAATTTGGATAGTTTGGGTTTGTCCATTATTCAATTTTTCGAATTCTCAATTTTTCTTATTTTTTCCCAATTGTCGAATTGTTACAAGTTTTTACTTTTTTGATTTTCCAATTTTTCGAATTCTCAAATCTCGATTTTTCGGTGTTTCGAATTTCGCACTTTTTTGATTTTTCGATTTTCCGAATTCTCAACTTCTCGAAACCTCGATTTTTCGTTTCCTCGTTTTTCAATTCCTCGAATTTTTTGATTTTTCAATTTTTGATTTTTCGCGTATTCGCTTTTCCGAATTTTCATTTTTTCATATTATGAATGGTTTGATCATCGATATTCCCTATTCTCAAATCTCGATTTTTCGGTGTTTCGAATTTCTCACTTTTTTTGATTTTTCGAATTTCCCAATTTCTCCATTTCTTGATTTTTTGAATTCTCAGTTTTCCGTTTTTTTCAAATTTCTGATTTTTCGAATTTTTACTTTTTTGAAATTTCGAAAAATGGAGAAACTGCGGAATTCGAAAAATCAAAAAAATTGAGAGTCGGAAAAATCGAAAATCGAAACTCCGAAAAATCGAGATTTGAGAATTCGAAAAACCGGAAAATCAAAAAAATCAAAAAAGAAAAATTTGCAAAAATTCAAGTATTGGAAAAAACGAAAAATTGGGAATTTAGAATTGGAAAAGTCGAATAATGAAAAAACCAAATTTAAATTCCTGATTTTTCGAATTTTTATTTTTTTGAAATTTGGATAGTTTGGTTTGTTCATTATTCGATTTTTCGAATTCTCAATTTTTCTTATTTTTTCCCAATTCTCGAATTATTACAAATTTTTACTTTTTTGATTTTCCAATTTTTCGAATTCTCAAATCTCGATTTTTCGGTGTTTCGAATTTCGCACTTTTTTTGATTTTTCGAATTTGCCGATTTCTTCATTTCTTGATTTTTTGAATTCTCAGTTTTCCGTTTTTTTTCAAATTCCTGATTTTTCGAATTTTTACTTTTTTGAAATTTCGAAAAATGAAGAAACTGCGGAATTCGAAAAATCAAAAAAATTGAGAATCGGAAAAATCGAAAATCGAACCTCCGAAAAATAGAGAATTGAGAATTCGAAAAACCGGATAATCAAAAAATCAAAAAAGAAAAATTTGTAAAAATTCAAGTATTGGAAAAAACGAAAAATTGGGAATTTAGAATTGGAAAAGTCGAATAATGAAAAAACCAAATTTAAATTCCTGATTTTTCGAATTTTTATTTTTTTGAAATTTGGATAGTTTGGTTTGTTCATTATTCGATTTTTCGAATTCTCAATTTTTCTTATTTTTTCCCAATTCTCGAATTATTACAAATTTTTACTTTTTTGATTTTCCAATTTTTCGAATTCTCAAATCTCGATTTTTCGGTGTTTCGAATTTCGCACTTTTTTTGATTTTTCGAATTTGCCGATTTCTTCATTTCTTGATTTTTTGAATTCTCAGTTTTCCGTTTTTTTTCAAATTCCTGATTTTTCGAATTTTTACTTTTTGGAAATTTCGAAAAATGGAGAAACTGAGGAATTCGAAAAATCAAAAAAATTGAGAATCGGAAAAATCGAAAATCGAAACTCCGAAAAATCGAGATTCGAAATTTCTAATTTCTTGGTTTTGAATTTCTCGATTTCTCGATTTTTCGAACTTTTACTAAGTAGTTTAATTTTTCCATTATTTGATTTTTCCAATTCTCAATTCTTCGTTTTTTGGTTAATTTTCGAATTCTCAATTTTCCAATTTTTCGATTTCACGATTTTCATTTCTCTGAGATTTGAGAATTCGAAAAACCGGAAAATCAAAAAATCAAAAAAATAAAAATTTGTAAAAATTCGAGTATTGGAAAAAAACGAAAAATTGAGAATTTAGAATTGGAAGAAAAATCGAATAATGAAAAAACCAAATTCAAATTTCTGATTTTTCGAATTTTTACTTTTTTGAAGTTTGGATAGTTTGGTTGTCCATTATTCGATTTTTCTAATTCTAAATTCTCAATCTTTCGGTGCTTCGATGTTCGATTTTTCGAATTCTCAATTTTTCTTTTTTTTCCCAATTCTTGAATTTTTACACATTTTTACTTTTTTAATTTTCCAATTTTTCGAATTCTCAAATCTCGATTTTTCGGTGTTTCGAATTTCTCACTGTTTTTGATTTTTCGAATTTCTCAGTTTCTCGATTTCTCTAATTTTTACTTTGGTGATTTTTAGATTTTTTGATTTTTCGGTTTTCGATATTTCGAATTCACAATGTTTTGATTTTTGGATTGCTTGAGTTTTAATTGTTAATTCTCGTTTTTTCTCGTTTTCCCAGTTTTCCCAATTTTTGTATGTTCAGTGTTGAGATTTCTCAATTTTTGTTTTTTTTTCCGAATTCTCGATTTTTCAAATTCTAAATTTCTCTATTTCCCAATTTTTCAGTTTCTCCATTTTTCGATTTTAGATTTTTCGAATTCTCAGTTTTACGATTTCCCAATTTCTGCATTTCTCGATTTTTTGAATTGTCAGTTTTTCGTTTTTTTTTCCAATTCACGATTTTTCGAATTTTTTTTGAAATTTCGATTTTTTGATTTTTCAAGTTATTCGATATTTCGAATTCACAAAGTTTTGTTTTTTGGATTGCTTGATTTTCGATTATTCGAATTCTTAATTCTCGATTTTTCGATATTTCGTATTCTAGATTTCTCGGTTTCCCAGTTTCCCCAGTTTCTCGATTTTCAGTTTTTAAAATTCTTAATTTTTGTTATTTTTCGATTTTTCAGTGTTTCAATTTTTCTCGATTTTTAATTCCTCGACTTCTCAATTTCTCGATTTCCCAGTTTCTCCATTTTTCGAATTTTGAATTCTTTATTTTTCGGTGCTTCGATTTTCGATTTTCCGAATTCTCAGTTGTTCGTTTTTATACAAGCCTCGATTTTTAGAATTTTTACTTTCTTGATTTTTCAATTTTTCAACTTCTCAATTTCTCGATTTTTCGAATTCTTAATTTTTCGATTGCTTCAATTTTTGCATTTTCAATTCTCGATTTCTCAATTTCTTCATTTCTCGATTTTCAATTTATGGGATTCTCATTTTTTCGACGTGAATTTGAAAATTTTTGCTCTACTTTCAGAAATAAGAGAAAATTTACCTTTTTTGACGTAGTTTTAAAATTGAAGTGGACGTGAAGTAAAATTATTTGGAAATCACCAGAAATCACCTTCTACTTATAATTATGTAGATTAGATTAACATCATTATCTCCCCAGATATGAAAAGTTGAAATTTATGGTAAAAAAATAAAAATTTTAATTTTATTGTGCTCATTAAGATAATTACCATCAATTTATTACGATGGAGCGGAATTATATGTAATTTTGCAACATTTTGTTGAAAGAAATTACCGGAACTCCTTGAATTTCTCCGAAATTTTCTTAACATTCACCGGAACTGATAATCTTTTTATTAAGGGGTCCAGGTTGTGGTCTAGTTAAATAATTTTACCTTGCTTGTTAATTTTTTTAAGTGAAAATTCGTTTGTGTTTCAAAAATTGAAAAATTACGGGTGATATCGTGTTAAAATCAAGTGTATTTTATGTACGTGAAAACAGCGTAATATTCATTACGCTACATGTGGTCTAAATTTATCACCTTTTAAACCACAAAGTAACAAAATTCTAATTAGTGGTTGAAATTTCACCTCTTTAACCCCCTTTGTGGCAATTTTCTCAAGTATTATTTATCTTACAAGAGATGTCAGTGATGTCACTGTCAAGCTTATTATAGCAAATTCGCTATATATTCTACTTTGACGTTAATTCCAGCCACCGCATATTAAATTTTGCCATAAATCACCACCATTCGCTTTTTTATTATTCGCGTGTTGAAAATTGCAAATTTTGTGTTTGTAAAACCACATTATAGCAGAAGTTTGTGATCGTGATTGACACCTTTTTTCCGACTTCGCGATACATTTTCGTTAATTTAAACCCGCCTGTCCTTCATTAAGCCCGATTAAATTAAAACGGGAATAAATCCAAACTTTCTTCCAGGCTCCACGTACCCCTTGGAGGCGGCGCTGAAGAATGGCGGCTCGCGGGACCAGCCCACCACCGCGACCCTCTCGATCGTCCCTTCGAAGGAGGACGACGAGGCCGTGTTTCGCTGCGAAGTGTGGAACAGAGCCTTGCCCGAGAAGAAGAAGTTAATTTCAACCGTGTCACTTAGCGTCAACTGTAAGTACTTTTTACCGCAACATCCCGATTTTGCGAGCTTAATTAAACCGGATTAAATGTAGCGCTGTTTACGTTAATGAGAATTTGACTGTATTATCTCAGTTTTTCAGGGCGATATTTTGGTACAAGTGTAAACAAGTCGGGGCTTTTTCGACGCGAAAAAGGCGCTAGCGAAGGATAAACATGTATAAACATATGCATCCGGCCTGGGTGCCGTTACGGAGAACGTTCCAGATGGTGGCTTTCATCTTGTAATAAAAACGATCGAGTGTAAACTTTCTGCTCGATAGTCGATTTGTGGCGAGGAGAGAAACTCGAAAATTACACGCCAGTTCATTAGACGCGGATGTCATTATCTATGAGAAAGCACAAATAGATAAAGTTATCGATAACGGCGGGATTAAGTTGACGATGAGAGATGAAGAGTGCCGGCGATGATGGCCGAAACGTTTTATAAGTGATAAGTGATTACGAACTAAAATAGTCGAGTTTTTAAACCCATTCGGGTCGTTCAATATGAAAACAGCAGATGATAATTTGGCCAACACTATTGATCTGAGAGAGTTGATTTTTTCAGGCACTTAGTATTCTAATAATAATAATAATAATGATAATGATAATTTATTTCCTACAGGTACTTAAACCAATTATAAAAAAAAAAAACATTTGTTTACAGTATAAAAAGAACAATGAAAACTAACGGAACTACAGTTATTTAATTAAAAGTTTAATAATATTAACAATTATTTAGCAAAAGTACCCTAGCGATCGAAACGATTTGTTTTCTGATAAGTGATACCGATAACCTCTATAAAGTAAAAATCAGTGCAGTGGCGTAAACAACATTCCCGCAAATTTTTTGACTTGAATTATTCAATTCAATTTTTTATTTTTTTGTTTCTTCAATTTTTCGATTTTATAATTTTTTATTTTTTCAGTTTTAATTTTTTCAGTTTTTCATTTCTTCAAATTTACAATTTGCAATTTAACAGTTCTGTTGCTTCAATTTTACGATATGCAACTTTTCGAGTTTTAATTTTTAAATTTTTCAACTTTTGAATGTCTCACTTTTCAGATTTTGCATTTTTTTATTTGCAATTTTTCGTTTCGGTTTCTTATTTTCTTTATTTTTCCAATTTTTCGATTTGCAATTTCTCGGGTTTCAATTTTTCGTTTCTTCAATTTTTGATTTCCAATTTTTCTAGTTTTCATTTTAAATGCGTAATATACTATGTAGGTTCTAATAATAGTTTAAAAAATTTTTCGCTTTGTCAATTTTACTATTTTAGAATGTTTCGACTCTTATTTTTCGACTTTTCAATTGTGTCACAATTTTTCATTTTAATTAATCAATTTTTCGTTTCTGTTTTTTATTTTTTTAATTTTTTATTTCTTCAGTTTTTCGAATTGCGATTTTTCAATTTTTTTTGTTTCTTCAATTTCTAGATTTTGCAATTTTTCGGTTTTTTTAATTCTTCGTGTCTTCAAAATTTTTATTTGCAATTTTTCTAGTTTTCATTTTAAATGTGTAATATATACTAATAATAATTTTTTAAAAATTTCACTTCAATTTTACAATTTTAGAAAGTTTCCATTTTTGGGAGATTTCAATTGTTTTACAATTTTTAAATTTTTCGATTTTTCAGGTTGTCGATTTACAATTTATCGTTTCTGTTTGTTATTTTTTCAATTTTTCGTTTCTTCAATTTTTAGATTTTTCATATTTTTTATCTTCAATTTTGCAATGTTTTCCAAATTTCATTTTTAAATTTTTCAATTTTTCGATTTTCCAACATTTGGATTTGTAATTTCAGGAGTTTCCAGTTTTTCTTGTTTTCAATTTTCCGGTTTTTAAACAATGTTCTGATTTTAGCATTTTTCAATTTTTGTATTTTTTAATTTTTCTGTTTGCAATTTTTCGGTTTTCAATTTTTCGATTTCTCAACTGTTAGATCTTTATTTTTTCATGGTTTTAAAATTTTTCATTTCTTCAATTTTGGATTTGCAATTTTTCTCGTTTTCATTTTAAATATGTAATAATATTTTTTAAAATTCGTCACGTTTTCAGTTTTACCATTTTAGAATTTTTCAATTATTGGATTGTAAAAAATTTTCATTTCTTCAAATTTTCGATTTACAATTTTTGATTTGATTTTTTACTTTCCTTATTTTTACAATTTTTCGATTTCTCAATTTCTCGATCTTTTGTTCACTCAATTTTTCGATATTTCAGTTTGGGAATTTTTAAATTTGTAGATTCTTCGAATCCTCGATTTTTTTTATTTTTCGATTTTTCAATGCTTAAATTTTTTAATTTTCCGACTTTCCACGTTTTCAATTTTGGCTTCCTAAGTTTTTTAATGTTCCAGGGATTTTTCAATTTTTCGAAGTTCCAATTTTATATTTTGTATTTTATCGATTTTTAAAAATTTTGTAATATTTTAAACTTTCGATTTTTCACTTTTTGATGTTTCGATCTTTCCATTTTTCGTCTTCCCTCTTTTAGATTTTTTGGTTTTCAATTTTAAAAATTTTTTATTTTTCGATTTTTTAGTTTAAATTTTTCAATCTTGGGATTTTTCAATATTTCGATTTCAATTTTTCAATTTCTAGATTTTTCAATTTTTAAATTTTTGGCTATTTTAAATTTTCGATTTTTCTCCATGAATCGATTTTTTAAATTTTGACTTGTATGATTTTTCGTCTTTCTGATTTCTCGATTTTTCAATGTTTTCCAGGAATTTTTCGATTTTTCAATGTTTCGATGTTTTTGTTTTGTTTTCTTTTTCAAAATTTTGCAATATTTTGAACTTTAGGTTTTTCACCTTCCCGCTTTTGGATTTTTTAGTTTTTCAATTTTTTAAATTTTCATTTCTTCAATTTTTTAGTCTGAATTTTGATTTTTCGATTTTTCATTTATTGGATTTCTTAAGTTTTTAATGTTCAGGAATTTTTAATTTTGTGATTTTTCAAAATTTTGCAAAATTTTAAACTTTCAATTTTTCACTTTTTAATGTTTTGAATTCTCCATCGTTCGCTTCTTCACCTTCCCGCTTTCAGATTTTTTAGTTTTTCAATTTTTTAAATTTTGCAATTTTGGGATTTTTCAATATTTCGATATCAATTTTTCAATTTTTGATTTTTTTTTGTTTCGATTTCTCGATTTCAGTTCTTCGATTTCTTAAGTTTTTAATGTTCAGGGATTTTCAATTTTGTCATTTTTTAATTTTTCCACATTTCGATTTTTTTTTAATTTTGCATTTTTTTTAACTTTCAATTTTCGATTTTCTCGATTAATCGATTTTTCTTCCTTTGGATTTCTCGATTTTTCAGTTCTTCGGTTTCTTAAGTTTTTAATAATGTTCAGGGATTCTTCAATTTTGTGATTTTTCGACGTTTCGATTTTTTTATTTTTTAGTTCATCGTTTTTTCAAAATTTTGCGATATTTTAAACTTTGGATTTTTAACTTTTTGATGTTTTTTCGGTTTCCCGCGTTTAGATTTTTTGATTTTTCAATTTTTCGATTTTGGGATTTGTCAATAATTTAATTTCAATTTTTTAATTTCCAGATGTTTAAATTTTTCGATTTTTCAGTTTTTTAATTTTTGGCTTTTTTAGATTTTCGATTTTACTCGATTCATCAATTTTTTGATTTTTCCACTTTGTATTTTTTGGTTTTTCCGATTTCTCGATTTTTAGTTTTTCCGTTTTTCGCCATTTCGATTTTTTCATTTTTTTTTTAATTTTGCATTTTTTTTGGTTTTCGATTTTTCACTTTTTGATGTTTCGATTTCTCCGTCTTTCAATTTTTCGTCTTCCCGCCTTTAGGTTTTTTGATTTTTCAATTTTTCGATTTTGGGATTTGTCAATAATTTAATTTCAATTTTTTAATTTCTAGATTTTTAAATTTTTCGATTTTTCGGTGTTTCAATTTTTGGCTTATTTAGATTTTCGATTTTACTCCATTAATAATTTTTTTAATTTTTCCATTTTTCGCCATTTCGATTTTTTCATTTTTTTTTTAATTTTGCATTTTTTTAGCTTTCGATTTTTCACTTTTTGATGTTTCGATTTCTCCATCTTTCAATTTTTCGTCTTCCCGCGTTTAGGTTTTTTGATTTTTCAATTTTTCGATTTTGGGATTTGTCAATAATTTAATTTCAATTTGTTAATTTCTAGATTTTTAAATTTTTCGATTTTTCAATTTTTCAATTTTGGGCTTTTTTAGATTTTCGATTTTACTCGTTTAATCAATTTTTTGATTTTTCGACTTTGTGTTTTTTCCTTTTTCCGATTTCTCGATTTTTTAATTTTTACATTTTTCGCCATTTCAGTTTTTTCATTTTTTTTTTTTAATTTTGCATATTTTTTTTGGCTTTCGATTTTTGACTTTTTGATGTTTCGATTTCTCGATCTTTAGATTTTTCGTCTTCCCGCCTTTAGATTTTTTTTTTTTCAGTTTTTCGATTTTGGGATTTGTTATTAATTTAATTTCAATTTTTTAAATTCTAGATTTTCAAATTTTTCGATTTTTTTGTTTTTCAGTTTTTGGCTTTTTTAGATTTTCGATTTTACTCGATTAATCAATTTTTTGATTTTTCGACTTTGTATTTTTCGTTTTTCCGATTTCTCGATTTTTTAATTTTTGCATTTTTCGCCATTTCGATTTTTTAATTTTGCATTTTTTTTTGCTTTCGATTTACCTTTAGATTTTTTGATTTTTCAATTTTTCGATTTTGGGATTTGTCAATAATTTAATTTCAATTTTTTTATTTCTAGATTTTTAAATTTTTCGATTTTTCTGTTTTTCAATGTATGGCTTTTTTAGATTTTCGATTTTACTCGATTAATCAATTTTTTGATTTTTGGACTTTGTATCTTCGTTTTTCCGATTTCTCTATTTTTTAATTTTTTTTAAATTTTACATATTTTTTAAATTTCGATTTTTCACTTTTTGATGTTTCGATTTCTACATCTTTCGATTTTTCGCCTTCCCGCC